GCGAAGGACGGAAATTCGTCTGAGAACGAAAATCCGAGTATTCTCGGTAACCATTCGTACCATTTTATTCCGTGGTTGCGAAACATGTCTGCTTGGATCCGAAGACACCCGGAAGCTGGAAGGCTTCGACCATTGATGTCTTAGTCTTATCTTGAAAACGCAGTGGTATGAGCATATCACCAATGACCGAGTTCGTAAGCGCTGTTATGGTCTTCCGAAGCCCTCTGCGCTCATCCAACGGTGCAAACATCTGTGGCTCGGTAACGTCCTCCGCAGACCAGACACTGACTTCACTAGGGCCATGGTTTCGCCCTCGCCTTGTCAGGGTTGGTGTCGTCGCCGTGGTGGACAAGTGAGAACGTGGCTCGCTGCAGTGAACTTGAATGTCGATTTTCTTGGACTCCAGGTTGTGCATGATGCTCGTCACTGGAAAAATCATTGGATCAGTATCTGCGTGGAGCTTACCGCCGCGTTTGGACAGCTGCAATCCACGGCATTCATTAGCCAGCTCATCCTGTAGCAGGAGCTAGCTGTAGAAAACTAAACTAAGTAAGCACCATGATCTTATTTGCGCAGTCAGCCGCGCTCTCCAAAAAGAAGCAGTCTACGTGAGCCCATCACATTCCTAACCTTCCTCTGCCGTTTGGTTTTGCTTGTAACAGTCTATTCAAGTATCACATTTGTAATCGTTGCAGTGGAAGAGGTCATAGGAAATTTTTCTGCGCGGTACATCATTCTACTTTGACCTGGAAAAAGCGTAACAATGCGGTATCATTACGCCGTCACAACCTAATCAAATCTATCACCGCGACTTCCATAGTAAGCGTCAGTACATTATTTTGACAATCAATGGCATCCAAGTTAGCTTACAACTTGATACTGCTTCAGATATCATCCTGATATCTCGCGATCCGTGACGCAGGCTGTGGCGGCCGACACTCGTTCAAACCACCCATACAGCACGAAATGCTACCGCAGATACGTTAAAATTGCGGGGCTAATTGAACTGCTGTCAGGTTTCGTATTCAACGAACCCACACGTCTTTCGTGATAAACCAGCCGAATGAATGAGTTGCAATTGATTGATCAGCCGCTAACCGGTATATGCCATTCACGAAAGTCAACCAGCGGTCGCAGTCGTCGGTATCATGCCCGATCTTTCACAGTCAATTTAAAAACCTAAAATTACGCAACGAAGCACTGCTTCAACTTTATCTCCTATACTGCATAATCGCCGGTACTGTACGGAACCACAAAACTAGATGGAGCACCAGGCACAGATCAGAGGCAGAGCTGCGTTACAACACCAGTATTCACGGGCTACACCCACCACTTATATGTGTAGTCCCAGTGTGGTGACGTGGAAATGCATGTTCTGCGTTGAGAACAGTAGACTCTGTAATACTTGTGCTGGCTCTATGATATATGTTCCTGGTGAAAGTTGGATTATTTAGCATGTGGCAAGGCATAGGATAGGGAGTACGGCTGAATGCTCCTGTGTATTTTTATGAGCCATTGTACACCTTTTTCCAGGATATGGTAGTTGTGCTTGGCAAGTGTACTTCCCATAAAAGCCACAAATATCCGTTTAACCCCACTGCGTTTTGCTGAATGTCACCTACCACTAAAGTTATTAGATTTACTTTCACTTCAGTGGCGCATTCAATCCCAACAAATGTTTGCTGATATCATGTGGAAGATTGTATCCCTGTTTATCAACTCACCAAGCCAGAATCATGTGAACTGGGAAATCAGTTGCTGGCTCTCAATGGGCTTGATCCCCTGATTCCACCCCACTGCTTTACGAGTACGCTACTAGCTCCAGCTACAAACCCCTGCTTTTTCTGTGGCAACTGGGTAATATGCCCCTCCTCCCGCTGAAGAGACCATGGACTGTTCATCTGCTATACTGTGCTCAGGTGATACATCTCCACCATAGACTTGCTGGGAATTACGGTTCGTTTGACACACTGCGATCATGGTGCGGTTTCCGGCATTTACACCTTGAGTGACTTTCAGTACAATACGCACACACACACACGCCGTACCGACTGTATGCCACCGGGTAGCAGACGGGAGGTGTAGCAATTGTTTTGAAGCTAATACACACTTCATCAACTCATGCTACTTTTGGTTAATGGTTTCGCGTCATCTCGATTCAGGGTGGCAACAACGCCTAGAATTTGTTGGAGAAAGCTACGTCATGGACACATATGTTCATTTTGTAAGACTGTTTTGTGCACGCACGTGGTCTAGTAGCTACTTGGGTGGGACGAGACTCCCGACCATCAAGCGCGCACGGGTGGTAACACAGCCACAGTCCTTTCCGTCATAAAACACCTCCGTAAGTTGGCGCACCCAGTCACTACCGTCATTGACTAAGTGCTTATTTATACTCTTAAGGTAGGAGATTTACTAGTGCGCGCACATGTGCTCGAACTAAAAGCGTCAAGCAGGGATAACTCCGGGTCTGAAGCGACACATGCTCAGTGACCCAGATGTAAGCCGATTCGAACAGCATTGTAAACGCCATCCCCGACATCTTTACCTGCACGGTCAACATATCATTATTCCCTGTGATCACGATGAGCTCTCTCGTTCTTTCTTTCGAATGACCATGTTGGCCATTAGTTTTAATCTGATGAACAAAGACTACATAGTAATCATTGATTTTCAGATGACTGGTACTTTCGAGGTAATGTGGGGTTAGCACCATTGCAACATAAATCTTTTATCTATCCTAAACTACACTTTTACCACTTATTTCTGAAACTCACGAGAAATCCAACCGAAACTGCTCAAAATGCCCAACCGCTTCTGTAGCACGCAATTTCCGATCCGAATGGAAACGGCGCAAAATTGCAGAGGCCCTGACACAAGCTGAGCATCGCTGAATCACATTCAACTTACTCTGTCATCCTAATGTGATTTGAGGACACGTGAATAGGGTAAATGTTGTGTTTAACACCTGCTCCAACTTTTCACTTCCAAGCCAGTTTCGCGTTTGGTTACCCCCGTGAGTATTTCAGTAACCTCATTTTTTCTTCACACGAAACATCCGGTGTGTGAATTTATTTAGACACACGATCTGCCTCTCCACTACGATTAACGCTCAGAGGAAACATGGCCACTTGGTTCACTGATGCAAACAGATGTTGGATGTTACCAGCAAACAGCCTCTAGTTATTACCTCATTGCGCTTGTTTCACTTCGCCCACCGTGAACCAATCCATGTGCGTTTTTCATTTCGATCTGCCCGGTAACCTTCTCATGTGCGTAACTATGTCGTCAGATTCCCATTATCACTTACTCGGCTAACGTAAGTGTCGCACTCAAACTCAGTAGTAGCGCGTCTCCGAAACGCGAAAGTTGAAGCGGCACGGGACAACTTCGGCGATAAATGATCGTCGGAGATAACATGCACACCACCAAAACCTAATGGAGTTTAATTGAGTTTGGTTCAGCATGAGACCAACACCAATCTCAGAATCCCTGAAACAAATATATCGAAGGATTTTGGGACGGGAACTAATCACGAAGACCGTTCTACGTTAAATGTACACAAAACCCAACGGACCATCTCGGTTTATTGGCCTATCGTCCGTGGAGCTGCAACCAAACAACTGGACAGATGTTTACGCGTGTTGAAGTATCTCATTCACCGATACATTTCTCGTCGCTGTCTATCACAAAACTACGAAAAGTATTCAATTATGCACACACGTTGGACATCGATTATCTTATGCATCTGCGAAATCACGGTTTCTACATTGTTTTAATAATATTCCAAGCTTTTGAGCACTATCACCTATCTAGTAAATTATGCGCACAAGCTAGGCGACATCGCGTGAATATAGGCTGGCGGCTGCACTGGCAAGCGTGCGGAATTCACTGCGCCTTGTACACTTCCAAATACCTCATTAAACGTTTCAATTTCGCCGCAAGATCTTTCTATGCATTGTCTTACTTCTTACGGCCTTCGTTTTGTGCCATTTCCGCTTGATGGTCACCTGGTGTTTGATGTCGATGCATTAGTCGGTTAACTAAGAGGCGGTAAATTCGTTATTCGCTGGTTTCTTATTTTTCCATTGTTGGAAAGTTAGCTCAGCCAAGTCACACTGCTTCGACATGGAGTATGGTCAGCTGGCTTGACGGCAGGTAAGGCTTCAAATCAAACTCTTCTCTTTTCTGCCGACGACTATGAGATGTATAGGAAGCAGAGTAACATCTGCAACTGTACAAAGACGGGTCGGCGCCGACATTTCGAAGAGCAGCTCGCAAATAGTAAGATGACCGTTCCCAAGAGAATCTTTGCTTGCGTGGATGTGTGGTATACGTTACCGTGTGACATGGGGTAGTGGAAGCCACGAAGACGGCACTTCTGTTGTTTAACCAGACTCTTGTTCGATGGTCCTCTTTTCGTGACTATCCAGCCTGGGCATTGCATGAGCGCCCTAGCTTTAGGCCTTCATCCCAATGTCTGGACCCTACATTCATCTTCCTTTCCATTGCTACTTGACGGTTGGATTGTATTTGTTGACTCATAGTTAATATCATCAAAACAGTAGAATAAACTGCTTGAGAATGAAGCCATTAGCAGTACGCCGGTACGTAGTACCGACGCCATGCTACCGCGCAACCACCACCAGTCGCACGTGGGCTAAGGATACCGCGAGGGTCGCGCGGTGCTCTACGCAGACTCGAAACCACGCCCTCGGATTACGGGGCAGGCTTGTGATCCTTAAGGCTACGGGCCGGCTATTGCAATTGCACTTTACAACGCTCTGAGTTTGCGTTCCGATGACCTTATCATCATTCCCTTTCGCACCTCGTGTGCATCGGCACTGTTGTCTTTTTCTTTGTTATTTGTCAGATTGCTGAGAAATTTTCACTTTGCACATCCAACTTCTGCCTTTCTTCTAATTTATTTCCTGTCTTAGTTTCACTGGAATACATTGCGTATGCATTTCCTCCTTTCTTTCATTACATTTCCCCTTAAGAAAGCCCCTCGAAGACGAGGTTTTTGCTCAGCTACAGTCTCATCCTTACATGGGCTCGGATATCTCCTTGCTCGAACTCATCCGTAAAACGGACTATCTGCAGCGGTATCCCAGCTGGCTCGCCTACTGCGGACCGGAAAACAAAAAAACGTTCTCGCCTACTTACATTGCTCGTAACGATACGATATGGGGTAAGTTGTCTCATGTCACCCTCTCTCTCTTTAGTCTTTTTGTTTTGATCATTAAAACACCGCATCGTTCCTTTGTCTCATCCAATTTCTTCCCAGCTGGGCACCAATAGTTCACCTGAAATTATGAAACCTTTTGTTGCTTCACGTCTGTTACTCGAAGCGCTTTATGGAACGCTCCCATTAAGTGCACTTTTTGACCTCCGTGAACGGTAGGGTATACAATGCAGCAGTACGTTTGACCCTGCTGTATGGTTGCGAAACCTGGCCCACCAGATCGGCAGACGCAAGGAGGCTACCTACGTTCGATCATCCCTGCCTTTGCAGGTTACCAAATGTCTGGCGCAACATCGCGTGAGCAATGAGCTTGCTTGGAGTCGTGTATTTGATGCAGCAAAAGCGAGTGAATTGGTCAGCGCTGTCACATCACGCAACAAGCTCCGATGCATGGCCCACGTATTGCGCATGCCAACCGACCGGCTCCCGCGGCGTACTTTTTTGCGCGCCCGGGGTCTGGATGAAAAAAGAGCAGGAGATGTCAAGGGGAATAGAAATCTCTTAGTTCGAAATTCGCCTCGGCTGGAGCCTGTCAGCTCTCCGGATGGGATCCAAAAGATGATTCACACGTTACGCTAGAAACGCTTGTTTATATATATATATATATATATATATATATATATATATATATATATACATATATATATATATATATATATATATATATATATGATTAGCGGCACAGGACGTCTGCAGGACGCTACAGGACGCCTGCGCCTACAGAGGGACCATGGATGTCTTGAGCTGCACCACCCACTGCTCCAACCACACATCCTATATGCAGTGTAAACCCGAAGGAATATGACCGGGAGGCATGTGTATCGCAGCCACGTTTCATCAACGAAGCTGGCCCACGCTCCTTCACAGGCAAAAACAAGCACGCTGTATTTGGGAATCAAGCGCACACAAGGCGGTGGCTGGACCGTAGCCCGCTCCACACTCTGTGCATTGGACCACTCTTTGATCCTAACACGGCCACGAATACCGTTCACCCCGTCCCCACCAGCAACGACGAACTGCCTCCTGGAGCCAGTATGGGCGAGGTAGTGGATAATAGACAGGTCGGCACCTTGTCAGCATGCACATCAAGCGCAGCCATATCGAAGATATCAAGTAACATGCAATCACTTGAAACGATGATATCAAATAAACTAATTTGAATAACTCATACAGATAGGGTAACAAACTCTTCGCATGAGCACATGAACTAAATTGGTTACGAACAAACCCGCTATGTTTTCAAGACGTCGGCAAATATATTTTAAGGAAATGCCACAAACGCTAAAATTTTCTCGAGTTAACCACAATTATCTTAGACGACGTGTGCAAGATTATATATAGTTTAGGTAGACAATAATATGAGGAAGAAAAACATTAGGACGATGTAGCAAACCCACCACCTGAAATAAAGATACTTAACATGCAATCACACTTTTAGTAAATCGAAAGCAGCATGCCTACAAACGCTGCACTGGTTCTACCTACTTTCTCAAGACCCGTCGTCCTTTCCGTTTCGGCCCCGAGTGGCCTCGCTCATGGCTCACTAGGCCTGCCTGACTCAGACACTGGCGACCGCATGTGCTACAACACCATGCGTTCGATGTCGATGGAGTACAACCCACCGGTGCTTGCCGCTTCTCCTTTACATGTCCGACGGCTTTCGCTTGCACCTCGGCAACTGCTTTCACCATCAGATCGCGCCCTGCACGCCGATCAACCGCTTTCGAACCTCATACCCTGTTATCAAGATTAGAACGTGAGAAGCTCACTTTGATCATGTCTTGGTAACGGAGCTTCGGTTTCCCCACATGCAGCTTCCTAACACTCAGTTGACCATATAGTACTTGTTTCAGTATCCGCGTCGAATCCATACGCCACACATGACCGAGCCACCTCAGGTGTCTCAGCAAAAGTATGCAGTCCACTGCATACATCCCACTTCGACGCAACATTTTCGTGTCCCCAGCTATCTCCTACAAACCAACGCGCAGAATCTGTCGCAGACACTGTTGATGGAACTGGTCGAGATATCACACATCCCGCCGGTACATCGTCTACGTTTCACTGCCCTATAGAAGAACGGACAGCACCGTGGGTTTGTACACCATCAGCTTCGTGCCACCGGTTCCACACTCGGTACTCTAGCTTCCGGAATGCCGCCGCTACCTTCGACACGCGAATACGCAGCTCACTGTGTAGCTGCTGATCAGTCGACATCACACTCCCAAGGTAGCAGAAGCGGAAGGTGGTTTCCAATACTTCAGCACCAATGCTGATTTGCGCCAATAGTGAAGATTGCACCTCCGGTGAAGGCAGAAAGAGACAGACAGTTTTGCTTGTGTTGATGGTGAGCCCGAATTTGGCCGCTGTCGAAGCCAGAGCACTAGTCATGTGCTGAAACTCATCCGCGCTGTGTGCAAACAATGCACAGTCGTCAGCAACATACGGATAGTTAAGGCAGAGAGAAGACAGAGGTTGCGACATATCAACATTTCGATTGTTCTCCTCAGTCGCAAACACAATACGATCAGAAACATTCAAGGGATTATATACATGGGAAAACAAGGCACCACCAATCAAAATGTCACAGTCAAGACCATGGCAACCGAATGGATTGCGTCAAGGGTTTCTGTGCACATAGCACAGGTTGATAAGCCTTAATTAACAACGCCTCACTAATTGCTAGCATTATCGGGTTTTTGTTACGTGATAACACTTTGAACGCTGTCTCGGGGTTTACGTGATGACGGGTTGTCATGAGGTTTGGATATACTCATTAGGCGACAGGCTGAAGTTACGTTGCAGAGCACTGTTCACCGCAAATCCACTTGGACTGGACAGTACCTTCATTTTTCAAGCTTCGCCCCGATCGCGTACAAACGCGAGTTTGTGAGAACTCTCTTCTACCGGGCTAGGCGTATTTGTAGCCCCGAAACGTTATAAGCCGAAGAAGAATTTCTACGCAAGACCTTAATTTCCAATGGATATCCTGAGAAGTTTATTCAGGTACAATTCAGACCTCCCAGCTTGAAAACACCGGTGTTGACGGCTGAGAAAAAGAATGTTTATTTGTTCTTGCCGTTCAAGGGGGACCATGTGGCAAATGACATCGGACGCAAGCTCCGGTGCGCTTTAACGCGAACCTACACGACAGCCCAGTTGCTACTCAGGCATACCACGCGAGCACTTGTTCTTCATAACCGTCAGAGCATCTCGTCGGGTAGTCCGGCCTCTCACGTTGTTTATCAGTTCACCTGCGGTTGCGGTGACATTTACATAGGCAGAACAAACCGTCAGTTAGCTCAGAGGGTAGCTGAACACTTGCCAAAGTGGTTGGGACAAGTGATTACGCAACAACATGGGACGAATCTGAGGATCAATCGGAGCCCGGCATCGTCTGTCACCAAGCACCTCATGACAACCCGTCATCACGTAAACCCCGAGACAGCGTTCAAAGTGTTATCACGTAACAAAAACCCGATAATGCTAGCAATTAGTGAGGCGTTGTTAATTAAGGCTTATCAACCTGTGCTATGTGCACAGAAACTCTTGAGGCAATCCATTCGGTTGCCATGGTCTTGACTGTGACATTTTGATTGGTGGTGCCTTGTTTTCCCATGTATATAATCCCTTGTATGTTTCTGATCGTATTGTGTTTGCGACTGAGGAGAATAATCGAAATGTTGATATGTCGCAACCTCTGTCTTCT